CCCATAAGTAGGTAGCATCGCGCAGGAGACATGCTCTTTCTTCTGCTAGTTCTAACTAGATCGGGCTTTACCTGAAGCTTCCCACGCTCCAGATTCTGAGTCTATACCCTCTGCCTCACTTCAGGCAAATCACTTTTCCCCTCCGGGGCCTCTACGTTTCTGCCTGAGGACGAGATCAGCATCTTGCCAGGAAGTTTTGAAATCTCTGCTCACCTTGGCCAAGACTGTCCATAAATCTGGGACTCTCAGACAGGACTCCCTCTCACATGTGTATGGAGTGAGTGGGAGCATCTAGTGTGCGTCTGTCCTCCTTACTTTCCAGGGCCTAAAACTCCACCTTGCAGACATAGTCTTCGGGGCCATGGCTTTGCTAACCCCCCACAGTCTGCTTTCAATGGGCAGGTACTCCAAGATTGGATCACAAGCTGTTATCAGTCATTCACATCTTAGTGGGAAAGAGTGTTTGAAGCTGGCTTCTCCATTCTGTTCTGCAGAACTATTTTCACTCCTAGGAAATGTTTCTGGACTTGCCAAGACGAATTAGAGAGCTGCCTAGCTTCCACATAGCAAGCGCCGACTACTGGCAAAGTGCTACAGGGCACTTCATGTAAATTATTTGTTACCCTTGCCTCAACTCTGGCAGGTAGAATTCTCATTTCTGTCTCTTAGTGAGGAGTCTGAAGCTCAGAGTCTAAGTGACCCCAGCTGCTAGACTCCAGAGCAGGCTGGTCCAATTCCAAAGCTACACCAGGCTGCCCTCCTCCTGATGGGGCAAGGCTTTCAATTCTGCTAGTGGGTCCCAGGCTCTAAAGGCAGGGAAGGGGGTGTCCGCAGGAGGAAGCGGCATTATCTTGATTCAGGCAATGGCAATGAAAGAGACATTCCAGTCTGGATTCCGTACACATATCCAAACTCTCCTTCCCTGTCTGCCTGACTTAAAACAGCCCTTGACATGCCGATTAAGATTCAGATATTGCTAATGTATAATAACTGTAGCTATCCTCCCTATGTCCGCAGAGGGCATTAGAGCTCACATTGTCGTGTTCTCTTTCCCTCGCTCAGGCTTCTCACAACCACGTGAAATAGCGAATGTTTTTCTCATGACCACATGAGGAAGGTGGGGCTCACACAGCTAAAGGAGCCGGGCCTGCAGCCCCAGCATTCTGCTTCTGGGGGCCAGTGCTTATGGGAGTCAACATGGTTAAATGCCGGGGGATTGGGGTAGGGTAAAGAGGACCGGGGGATGGCTTCATTTGCTTATTGAAAACAGAATGAACTAGGAAATATTTCTAAGAAGACTGGATGGCAATAGGTACCTGGATGAAGGGACCTTTCATGATTTCCCTGTCCCTGTCCCCGAGACCCCTGGGCTTTTCCTCACCACCCGGCCCAGGGTACCCTCTCTACTTGCTAAAGTCCTATCCGTCCATCAACCCCAAAGACGCTTCCTCCTTCCAGAAGTCTCTTGACCATCCTCGGGGCGGCTGTATCGTCCTTCCTCCAAGTGCCCTGAAGGCTGGCACTGGTTTGCCCTTTAACCTGTGGGGTGACTTTGCCAGGAATGCACGCCCAGTCTACCCAGCTAGGTCACGAGCTCCCAAGGGGAGGCCACGTGTGCTCGGCATCCGGGTGAGATGTAGCACCGGGCACAGGCCTCACACACAGGCGCTCCATTGGTGCTTGTGATGGGGACGTGGGAAGGCATGACCAGCCCCGGGAGAGGGAAGGGCCAAAGGTGCTAATGGCCCCAGAAGGGTGGTCAAGGGCCGCCATTCCCACACAGGCTTTGTGCTCCTCATCCTGCCTCCCACCCGACAGCATTGGGCACGCACGCTGGACGTGCCGGAGGCCCGTTGTGAGCAGAGCCACAGTGCCTACCGTGGGGGCGGGAGGAGAAGGACGCACTGGCTGGGCCCAGTGTGCTGCCTGCTCTCCTACACCTCGTCCGCTCTCCAGGGGTCAGGGGCGTCCCTTACCTGGAGAAGCTCCTCCTCCCACACAGCCCAGGAGGGAATCAGGTTCAAGAGCTAATAAAGGAGCTGAGGCCCAGGGAGGTGGACTCACTTGTTGGGGCCTGTGGCTCGGGCACCTACCCAGGGCTTGGAGCCCCAGGCCAAGGTTCTTCCCCGCTCTGGGGGAACTGGGAGTGGTGCCGGCTCAGAAGGTACAGTCTCTTGTCTCTCTGAACAGGTCTGGTGGCGGCCTTCAAGGTCGCCACACCATATTCCTTGTACGTGTGCCCCGAGGGCCAGAACGTCACCCTCACCTGCAGGATCTTGGGCCCCATGGCCAAGGGGCACGACGTGACCTACTACAAGACGTGGTACCGCAGCTCGCGGGGCCAAGTGCAGCTCTGCTCGGAGCGCCGGCCCATCCGCAACCTCACATTCCAGGACCTTCACCTGCACCACAGCGGCCACCAGGCCAACAGCAGCCAGGATCTGGCCCAGCGCCACGGGCTGCAATCCGTCTCTGACCACCATGGCAACTTCTCCATCACCGTGTTTAACCTGACCCCAGTGGACAGCGGCCTCTACTGCTGCCTGGTGGTGGAGATCAGGCAGCACCACTCGGAGCAGAGGGTCCACGGTGCCATAGAGCTACAGGTGCAGAGAGGTGAGGGCGTCCTCTGTGGGACAGCGTGGGGTGGGGTGCGGTCATTGCGGGGGGTGGTGCGTGCACCCCTCCGGAAGGGCGAGCGGGGAGGAAGACAGAGTGACTCTGGGGGCGTGCTGCTGTGCGTGTGATGGTGCGACCGTGGGTGATTTTGTGTCGGAGAGTGTGTGATCCTGTATATTGGTGGCACTGGCACTCCGGGGACGTATGCGAGATAGAGTGGCCATAGTGTGTGGAAATCTCTGGTCGGTGGGGCGTGATGGACAGCAGCGTGTGTGT